AAGTACTTTAAACTGTATAAATAATGTATCTGGCAATTGATTAGGATCGACCAATCACGTGAAAGTCCTCCTATGAGAGTCAAACGCTACGTATACTATTTCTGGAATACTAAAAAAAGATCTCACCGATGCTTACCAACTTTATGTTCTATATTATGTTGATGGAGGAGAAGGCGGAAATAATCAAAACTTTGACATTTGTACAGAAATTAAATGTCCAGTTAAAGCTGGAACAAAATTTGAAATGAAACAGAATGCTCTAGTTCCAGGTTTACCTCCAAATGGTTACGGTATAGATGTTGGAATTTATAATAAGGATTATTCTAAAATGGATTTGATAGCCTGTGCGAGTGCTCATGTATAGCGAGTTGTTTTTTCTTTTACTTTGTACTTTTGTTTTTCTCCGTATTTTATCAATAAAAACCCGTGTCTACAAAAATTATGTAAAAAAGTGATTTGTACAAATTTCTTATTATTAAAAGAGTCGCTAATGAGACAATAATGCTGTTTTATTTTTTTCTGATCAAAAACTATATTATATATAACGTGAAAGGGCTCATGTAACACAAAATATCTGTTATAATTAAAAAATTCGTAAATTTCGTTATAAAAAGAGTCATTTTATATATCCGCCTTTATTCACTACATCAATTGATTTTTTCAATGACTTTGCCTGAAATGTAAAATTTTAAGGTTTCGCGACCTTTTATTTTTTATTGCAAACGATTGAGACATTAATCGATTTTTGACATTGTAATTTTACTTATTTACTTGGAATTTTTTTTATCAAATGCTCTTGTACAACTTTTTTTTTTTTAGTTTACTAGCAGGTAATATAAATTCATTTTTTTTTGGTTCTAGAATTTATTAATAAAATTTTGGTGATATTAGATTAAGATGCAATAAATCTTAATTTTTGTCAAAAAGTTCTCAGTACCTGACTTTTCTAGCAACCTTCCTATACACAAAATTTCATAGAATTAAAGAATTTTGATAGATTAAAATCATTAACATTTAAAGAATAATAGTACAGAGGATCTCCAAAAGTTAATATCTTTAACGTCAATTTTCTCAATATTTAGCAATTCAAAATTAAATAAAATTTTTATATAACATAAATAAATAATATATTTATAAGTATCAAAATTTGAGCTAATTTTAATCACTGGTTAACGAGAAATTTTTATAAAAAATATATTAAAGTTTTCGCATACGATTGTTACCGTTGGACCCCAAAATTTAATATATTATTAATATTATCTAATTCTATAAGAGAGCTAATTTGAATCACAGGTTGTTAAGAAATCGAATATCTTATTTATATGTTATCATTTATATCGATACTCTCAGCAACTAGTGATTCGGATTAGATCAAATTTTTATATGTGATAGGGCTGGATTGTGTTTATAATATATTAAATTTTGGTCCAATTGATCGTGTGTGTAAACTTTTGTAGTTAATAAGTTTTATTAAATTAAGTTATTGCAATTTTAATTTTGTTACAAATTAATTGTAAATAATAAAGGAATTATTTATTATCTTAAATACTATACAGTTCTTTTGTCCATTTACTTTAATATTATAGGGTACATTAACGTTCCCTCAAATTTTTATTATAAAAGAGAAATTTGATATTTTACTTCTTCTCTTGCTATAATAATAGATTATGAAAATTTTAATCATTTCTAAATTACTGATCCTTGGATTTCTTGGGTGGCTTCTCTAAATCTTGTTCAGCCTTTCGCTTCAATCCAAACATTACCTAATGCAAAGAAGAATACAGTTGTTATTATTTAATTAGCAATATGGTACAGATTACGTAGAAAGAAAAAGTTATACCTTTTCTCTTTCAGGAGCATTCATACTTTGACCCGTCAATCCGCCATTAACTGTAATAATACTTGGACTATTAATTGAGGTAGTCCCTTGCGCCTTGGAAGACCCTGAGGATTTTCCATTGTTATTTACCATGCTTGGAGGAACCACCCTAAAGATGAAAATAAAATTATTAAGAATTTCTTAATTTAAAAACCAATCAACTTTAAAATTCCATACATACGCTCGATTACCAACAGACAATACAACATGTGCACTTCCGCTAGCCTTTTGTCTTTCTTGCAAAGCTGTGGCCATATTCAAAGGTGTATCAATACTACTCATGGCTTTAAGTTTACGTTCTTCCTCAAGCTTCTTGAGACGCTTCTCAGTCTTGGCTTTTCCTGAAGACTTTCCATGAAATTTGTGAGACAGCTGTCGGAAAGCTTCTTTTGGCGTTAATTGGTTACCAAACTCATCAACATATTCCAAATTAATATCTGGTTTATAATCTCTGAACCTTGCTTCCATTTCTCGCAAGTGCTCACGATCTCGATAACTGGTTTCACTATCTCGACCACCACCACCGCGATATCCTTTTTCCTTTGCCCGTTGTTTTTCTTTCTCTCGTTCATTCTGTCTCTCTAGATCTTTCTTGCGTTGTTCAGCAAGCCATATATGTCGTTCTCTCTGAATGCGTTCTTTTTCAAGTTGTTCTTCATTCGGTTTAATTGAAAAACCTAAATTAAATAATAATGATGATAATAATTTAGTAGAAATATTACGTTTGAATTAAATGATGCATTGATTAAAAAAAATACCTTTCTGTTGTAAAAGGGCCAATGTCGCCGCCATCCCACTACTAACGAGAGGTTCTTCTTCAACTACACCGGTCTATATATTAAAAAAAAAAATAATAATAATTTTAGATAATTATATTGTAATGATAGCATATTAAGTAAATGTAAATTACCAATTTTGGTTCATCTTGAATATTAGCCATATCACTGTCCTCCACATTGCCTGCTTCTTTCCAACCACCCTTTTTCTCCTCTTCAACAACTTCATCCATTTCAACGTCATCAGCTTCACCGTCTTCTTTCTCTTCCTCTACCGGCTCTAGTTGTACTGGTTGATCTGGTTTTGGTTCAGCCTCGATAGGTTTGGTTATTGTTGGAGCAACGATAAGCGATCTAACAAATTCTGATGTATCAGAAATAACTAATCCTTCGCCAGGCATCTCATCATCTTCATTAGGCTCTTCATCAAATTCTGTCACTATTTAAAAATATAGATCCAATATTTAAATAATAATTTTGAAAAATAAATCATAATTAATGAAATACATACAAGTTCTGGCAATTTCTTCAACATTTGTCTTTGCAACTTTTTTTGTTGCCATTTTTCTCGCCCTAGCTAAAGCTTGTTGAAGGTCATCATCATCAACAAAACTAACATCATCGAAATTTTCTCGTTTTCTAACTTGGTTCGATACTACTACAGAAGGTGAATTATCGATTTCCATTGTATTAGGATCATTTATAATTTGTTCTTCATCATCATCAGCAACCTTCTTTCTTACTTTCTTCTTCTTCTTAGTCTATTATGTATAAACTGATGTTAACTTTGGTTAATGAATTTTTTGGGGGTTTTTTTCAATAAAAAAATTTAAAAGGTAAATGACATACCTTTGGTTTCTTGAAAGTGACTTCTGCTTCTTCTTTGGTGTAATAATCTTTAATTTCAATCATCTCTATGGAAATTACAATAAAATAAAAAGAATTAGCTCTAATTATGATATATTATTTAGATGCATAGTATATAAAAGATATTACTATCATAAGACAAAGAAATCGGTCTCGACTTTAATTTCTCTGCTACTTCATTCCTTCGTTCATCTTCATTTAATTGAAAAGTACCATCACTTCCTAACATGAAACCCTATAAAAATTATAGATCAAGTTTAATTGATATTAAATTAATAAATAAATTATAAAAATGTTAAAGGTATATACAGTTTGCTTATTTCCTTCGATTTCCTCATCATAATGTGATAAGATATTCTTTTTAGATATTTCTCCTCCACCAAAATTAAATTCTTCGTCATCATAACCAGTATAAATAGGCTTTTTCTTTTTATTTTCTAAATTCTTTTTGAGTCTTTGTTGTTCTTCAATCTGTATAGAAACTAACTGATCACCTTCTTCTGTAAAAAGAAGAATTGATAAAAAAGCAATAAGTAAGAATTCGTAAAGTTAAAAAAGCTCACACTATAAATAAAAGTTACCTTCGTTTTCGAGAATGCTCGAATCTTTCAAAACTAAAATACGTTCTTTACCGTCCTGGAATTCTGAAAGATTGTGAGCTACTTGCATAATTTATTTTATTTTATTTTATTTAAAAAAGAAACTGGTTTTAAAAACAATATATTTATTTGATCGGTTGGCTGAATTTTAGACCGATAAATAAAATTTAATAATCGGGCAATTTCGTAATTTTCGCTAGAGCATGGTAGAATTTAATTGGTCCGAAAATCGACATCACTAGAACTTCAAATTGTCTTCCGCAGTAACGACGACTCTTAATCCAATGACTTAATTGAAATTAGTAAAAGATAACAAAGGAACCTTTTAATGATAAAATTAAAATAATAAATAAAGATGCATTTTCGATCAATTTTTAAATTTAAACATTGGTTGAGATTTACTTTTTAGCATTTTAAAATTTATCATAATTGATAATAAATTGCATAGAAATATATTAATTCTAATAATTTTTCAAATACAAAAAGTTTGCGTTTCAACAAAATTGGTAAATTAATAACGTCTATCCTTGGATTTTATTTTTTTGATTTGTATCTATGAAACTGACTGAATCAATCATAGTTCCCAGTGCCATTACAATATTATTGGACATAACGTCTTCCACACTTTCCTCTAAATGACGCTTTGGATCTTGTTTTCCAACATGTCGGGTTTTCAATTGTTCAGGTGTCATGGTTGATTCCTCTTGTACCGATTTATTATAGGATTCCGCCAATGTAAGCATCGACTAAAAAAAAAGAAAATTTTTGAAATTTTTTTTTTATAAGCAAATCGAAATTTTTTTGGAAGGAAAGGTAAATTTAAATCTTTACATTGACACTTTTTCCATTGATTTCTGTGTGTTCCGTAAAGTTTGTCAGCGTTAATCCGTGGGTCCAATTTTTTTTGTGCAAATTAAGCAACATTTTCTGTTCTAATTCATTCTTTCGATAATTAATCGCAATCGAATAATAATGACGATTCAATCCATGGATCAAAGCCTAAGGAAAGTCAAGAGTTAACGAATATAAACTTTAGAAAAATCAAACAGATTTAAATTAATTGAAAAGCCATGAACGTACTTGAATACTTGGCTTATTAAGATGACCGATATTGGATGTGGTTTGACGTGGTTCTTGACCTAGCATAAGCATTTGAGGATTGATCAGGCGAAAAGCATCAATAACTACTTTGCCTTTGACAGATTGTATAGGATCAACAACAACAGCCACAGCTCTTTGATTCAATGCCTCAAAACTCTGTTGTGTATTAATATCTACACTAGATAACCAACACCCAAATCCAGGGTGAGAGTGATACCAGCCAACCACCATTTCGGGTCTATAAATTTCATTTTTCCGAAATCAGATATGAACCTCAATAATTTCATAAGAACTTCAATTCATACCGTCCAGTTTGCTTCAGCATATCCAACATTTTTGTTTGGAAAACAGGATCGACCGCTTCTACGGAAACGCCCGTACCACTTTGAGGCATGGCAAATACATCAATTACACGAACAGTATAATCATCCACGAATTCACCAAGCATCAAACCCATAACTTCCATAGGTACACCGGCACGTCCTACAATTAATTTATAATTAACAAATATAAATTTATGTTGAATAATACGTAGAAAAAAATGAATTAAATACTAACCGTGTTTTAACATCTATCAAGTTACATATACAAAAAATGAAAATTATTAGTATGGTTAATTATATTTTCTAACCCAATAAAATCACGCAAGCCAGAAGTTTTATAACAACTGATCCAAGTTGCTTACCTTAAGCAAAGCTAAAGAAGAAATATAAACCATTTCTGCGTTATCCACGGTTGGAGTATCCATACCGGGCTGATGACCAGCTGCTGCAGCTCCGAAAAGTCGTTGAAGTCTTTCCATTTTAATAAAATCAAAAATGACTAGGTAATCGTGGGGGAATTGAAAAGAATGCCCTTTGCTTGAAAATTTGCAAACATATATTATTATTATTCGTCATCGTAATCTTGATTGGCACAATTTCTCATCCACGTAAGTTAATCGTTACACCAAAGCCGGTCCTATTATCATGATAAAAAACCTGAAAATTCAGGTGCGATTTTGATGTATTGATGTATTGATGTATATATAGATGTTCGGATAACCTTAAATTTTTATTTTGCCAATTATTTTTCCGATGATCAATCCACATGTGACTGTATAACGCGAATTTACGCGAACAGCACGTTTAGTCATCGATGGCCCGGAATGGAAGAAAAACAATTTTTGTGAACCAGTCTTTTGAATCATTTAGAAATGCTAGTTAATACATAATATAATAAATATTTTCACCGTATATAACCTTATTACAAGCGAGCGGTATGGGAAATCACGACTTTTGAAAGAGTTTGAAATGAATTTTGGTAGTATATTTATTATTTAGAGAAAGTTTTTCTGAGTTGGCTTTCATTATCAAAGAAAGTGCCTACGCCATTTTTTGCTCTGACAAAATATCAATGATAATGAAATATAATTGATCATAAAAGACAAACTTAGGAAGTACCACAACAACTTTAATAAGTTGGATCAGATTTCAAACAAATTGAAATTAGTCTTTACATTTGGTAAGGCAATCCATCATAAGAAAAGCCGATAGATTACTGTTATTGGCTTCATATCACTTTATGCCTCTTTTTGATTGTGTTTTCTGTAATAAATACCATGGGAAATTACCGATTTGAATATATCAGTTTTAAATTCGATGAACATTTATATTCGATTAAAACATCATATCGCATAGAAACCACTTCTAAACTTAGGAAATGGAAGATGCTACGTTGTCAATATATGAATTCTTCCATTTGACGAGATATGCGATCAGTCAAATGTAGTTACTAATGAAGATAATGGTATCGAGAGAGAGATCTTTTTTTAATAGTCATTTAAAAGTCAGGATATGATCGAATTTTGAAGCATTGTGTTATCAAGAGAAGCAGATTTACCCAGAGAATTATTAACAGTTTACTGAATCTTTAAATTATCGATATCCTTTTAAAAGTGTATCAATAAATTATTGGAGGAAAGAACGTGTAATTTTCATAACCCTTGCATAATTATCTCAGATCTCGAATCCAAGCCTAGGTTTAAAATGATTAGATGGGAACATGTGTCGGGTTACACTGTGCAAACTATGTAATTTTGTCAAAAAAAAAATGATCGTGTGGCATGTGCCGATCATCCGATCATTTCTATTCTTTTTATTAAAGTTCGATTTTTTTAAAAAATATAATTTTTTAGATCATTACGTATTTATGGCAATATTTTCAAATCTCATTATTACGTGTAAATAATGATATATAATATAAAAATTTTATTTATATAAATTTAAATTACAGAAGCCTTCATTTAAAACAAAATGCGAAATTTAGAAAAGTTTCGAGATTCACGTTATAAAAAATACGTACAACATGTAGAGAAAGTACTACAATCTTTTGATAAAGAAGTCAATGAATGGGCCGATTTCATAGCTTTTTTGGGAAAGCTATTAAAAGTAAATAAAGTTTTCACCAATGTGAAATTTTTTCACCTCACAATGTTAAGTGAGAAAATTTTCATATCTCACATTTTTTATATTTTATTTTGAACCCTTTGTTTCAGACCTTTCAAGCCTATCCACAGTTTGCTGTAATACCTAGAAAGTTAGTCGTTGGTAAAAGACTGGCACAATCATTAAATCCAGCATTGCCCCCCGGTGTGCATCAAAAGGCATTAGAAGTTTACGATTATATTTTTAATAGTATTGGAGTAAGTTTATTCCATAGATCTGTTTTACTTGAGTAAATTTTGATAAAAGAAATTCATCAAAAGAATGACATTAATGAATAGATCGAACAATTAGCAGACGATTTACCTATTTATTCTCAAGGATTATTTCCTTTCCTTCAATATGCTGCGATGAATGTTAAAGTAAGCTAAATTATTATGATTGTAAAAATTTTTTTAAAGCTTATCATTAAAAGTTTTTTATTTTCAATGATTAGCCTCAATTATTAGATTTATATGAAAAATATTTATTTCCTTTACGGAATCAATTAAGACCTGTGATGAAAGCATTTATAACAGCCCTATTACCTGGTTTGGAAGAAGAAGGAAGTGAATTTTTTGATAGGGTATATGATCATATATAATATTCATATAATTTCTTTACATTTTATTGATTGTTTTGACTTTTTTTAGGTTTTATCTCTTTTGAATTATCTATCTGGAATTGTAGAACAGACATATTTTCTGCAGAGTATGTGGCTTGTGCTAATCACATCATCATCTTTACGGACTCCGGCATTAAATTATTTATCTCGACGGATGCCAAAAATTACATCTAAAGAAGGTTTTCTGTCTACAAATATTATGTTTGTGGGTCTTTTTATTAAATAGGTTTTAATTTGTTCAACAAATTCATTCACAATTTTTTTTGTATTAATTATATATGTATATATATATATATCATCCTTTATGAATTTTGGATTTTAAGATGTAGCTGTGGTGTTGGGTGATGATATTGGAATTATGGTACGAGCATTTTCAGCGACATTGGAAGATAAACACGTTTTGGTGCAACGAGCTATTCTTGATTTATTAGTTACAAGTTTCCCTTTAAAAGTCAAAAATGTTGGAGAGTATGTGTTTTATATTAATTGAAAATTTATTCTAAAACTTTCCAATATAATTAACTTTATGTTGTTTATTTACGAAGAATCATTCAACAAGATGATCTTATATTATTAATGAAATCTGCTTCTGCAGTTGTTTTACGTAAAGACATGTCACTTAATCGAAGGCTTTATGCATGGCTTTTAGGACCCGACGAAAATCCGGAGCAACAAATGGAACATTTTCATGAATATGGCAAAAATGCTCTCGTTTCTGCATTGAGGGTAAACAATTAATTTGATTTTTCCTTAAAACTTCCCTAATTTGGATTTTATAATTCGGTGTAATTGAACATATTAATAATTTGTTAATTTTAAATGTAGTTCATGTTTTTTTTGGATACGAGTGATTTAGCTACTGCACAACGACCATATAAGATTTTGATCTCATTGATGGATAAGGAAGAAATTGGACAACCTATTGTACAGGATTTATTTGTCGATATTTTATTGTCATTTAAAAATCATATTGAAAAGTCGGAATTCAGTTCCGATGTATGTCATTTTACCCTTGTTTATAAATCATTGTTTCAATAGATTAAAATAAGTTCTTCAATTAATTGACATAATTTATTGTTTTTTATTCCCGAATGATTCATAAAAAGTTATTACAAACAGCTAATATGTTTTTGGAGATGATTAATCCATATTTAATTTGGATGAAATTATATGGCCTAGTTCAAGATCGATTTTCTGCTCAAGATGGATTAGATACTTCGGTTAGTATTAATATCTATTAGATCATATCTAATTTCTGAACGTCCTTAATTTATTATATTTTTAATTAATTAGGCTTTAGATTTGGTTGATTTCGTATTGAATTCTTTTCAAATGCATGATGATGAAATTGAACAAATACATATACCACTTTTCGTGACTGCCTTACTTCGTAAACTTCAGGTTAACGGTTCAACATTAATTTATTTAATTGTTATTTAAATATCTATTATATAACCTTTTAAATATAATAATTATAGATGTTTACAAATGAAGCAAATTTCATTCACCGTATTTCACAAACTGAATATGCTCTAACATTATCTTTGGATTTATTGCAAAAAATCCCTAATAGTGTTTTTAGTTATCGTGAACCTTCAATTAAAAAAGATTCTCAAGTTTCATGTAAGGATTCTTCAATCAAGTCACAAGTTGAAACAGATTCTGTGAATGAAGAAACAGAATCTGCGCAAATATCGCAGTTAGGAGTTTATTTTTACACTGGAATGGATGCTTTGAAATATATAAATGATTTTTATTTTTATGGAAATGAAAAAGGGAGTGAAAATATTGTAAGCAAGCAAGTCAGTGGTATTAAAGGACAATATTTAGTTCAAGAATTACTGAATTCGATTCAAGGGTTCTTGCACAGTATAATCACTAAAGCTATTCTTGTCAAAAGTGAAGATTCACAGGAAATTTCATCGAGTCATTTGGTTGTTATAATGGATCGCATCTGTTGCCTTTTAAAAGGGGTATCAATGCGATTACATTTAATAGAAAATAATTCGGTAGATTATGAAAAATTGGTATCGAAATTATTCAATGGAGAATGGGTCCACTCATTGTTGAAATGTTGTTATATGATTGACAATTTCGATATAATTGATTCAGCACTTTCGACTATTTTAAATATTATAATTGATCAACAATTTATATCCCCTAGCCTTATCAATTCAAAACAACAAATACGGGAGATTGTAAATACTTTATGGAAATTTTTAGATCCTAATAAAGCAGCCTTACATTTACGAGTTGTCCAATTAATTTGGAGTTTGAAAGATTTATCTCAAGCAAATTACGTAGAGGCTGTAATTTCAGAATATCTTATACAAAAAGATTCTTCATTACGACAATCAAACTTTGAACGCTTTGGTACTTTTTGGAGACTTTCTGAGAATTTCCAAGATACAAACTTACATTTCTCTCAGCCATTGTTTTTGATACTTGATGCTTTGCGTGATGAAAATCCGACTAATCGTCGCGCAGGTGAAACATGGTTACGATGTAATAAGAGATCGTACATGAGAATCTTAGAGCCCATGATTCAAATTCTTTGTGATTCTTCAATTATGAGACAAAAGGCTGAGATAATTATTGGTGTAGAAACGTTCCGATTTTTTTATTACGAAAGACCATTTAATCAGGCTCAAGTTGATTATGTATTTGAGACATTGTCTACTATCTGTCGTGTTGATGGAGATAGCTTTTTGAAAATGATAAGAAAAAACAGCATAAATCATGATTTAGCAAAATCATGTAGTTGGCTTTCTGAAGAAGGGAATGTAGTTATGAATGGAGCTGTAAGAGAGATAACATATAGTGAATTTTTTATCAAGACTGCTTTATTTTACTTGGAATCTGAAGTGCCACGTACACTATCTTCTATGACTGTACTAAATGAATATATTCATATGCATGCAATGGACTTTCTTTATCATTTAATTTTAAAGATTGAGTATGTCGATAATGATTTAGTTCATTTGGTACACGATGTGTTATTGAGGAAAGTTCTTTTTTGTATATATTCGAAAAAGTTGGATTTACAATCAAGATTGTTACATTTATTACGCATTACAGTAACAAATATAGGACCCTCTAATCAACATTCTAAAGTAAATCCTGTTTATATGGATGGTCCATACAATTTACCACCATATAGCTATGATAATTCTGTGTCAAAGGAAGAAATGGATACAAAGAATGAGAGAAATTTAATTATAGAAAGATCATCACGTTCTTTAATTAAGGTGTTGCTTGACGCCTTATCAATAAATTCTAATCGTCCTCTTTTACAGCAGTGGATGGATTTTATTATGATATCTTTGCCATATTTCAGACATTCATTTAATTCTATATTAGTTCCATTAATCCAGTGTATTTGTGAACAATTAAGTCGGTGGAAAACTGAAATGCATAACCATTATGTTTTCATGGCTGATGATGATAAATCCGATTCGTTGAAATATAACAAAAAATCTGGTGATTTGTCAATGTCCGAATGGGATATTATTACCTTAATTAGTGGATTTGAAAAAATAGTTATGTTTTGTTTAAAGGATGGAGGGTTAGCCGACGAAGCAGAAAATTCTTCAACTGGATCTAAGGCGTATGAATCATCTCTTGGACTTACCGGCTTTGGGAATCTCTTCTCAATAGATACAAGTCATACCGAACAAACTTCGTCCGAACAAAAAGTAAATTTTTTTATTTCAAATTATTTTGTCGCCTTTTTATAATAATTGGAACTTATTATTATCATCTTACAGCCTCGAGATTATATACTTTATGATGTCTTCCCAAGTATTGTTACCATAATTATAGACATATGGTCCATATTCAAGAATGTTCACTCATCAAATCGTCCACATAGAGTTGGAACTGATCCATTTTTGATTACATTATCTCATACGAGAGACAGAACTCAAAGGCGTATTATGAAGCTTTTAGATAAGTTACATAAACATGCTCATGCAGAGCTTATTGAAGCATTTGTGGAGCTTTGGTATATTGAAAACCCTAATAGTATTTCAAGTCAGGAGGTAATAAAGATTAAAATTATTATTCATATAATTCCGATTCATTTAATCATCGTCTTTATTTTAGATGTTAAACAAATGTGCGGAAAGTATTGTCATTGATGTAATGAAAGTCATTCCAGGTTTATCCCCGCAAAAAGTGATAGCCACTATGTTAAATAGCGCTCGTGGGCGAGCACAAGTTTTACAAAATTCCCGAATAAAAAAGTTGGGATCTAAGATGAACAAGATGTAAGTATATCATGTTCATTTGCTTTGATAAGATTTTATTATATTTTTAAGTTTTTGTCTATTATTTTTAGATCCGATATTATTATTCTACGATTTTTAGAAGTTTACTGCGATTCTTTAGCAGCTCCTCAACCTCTGATTGAAGTTTGGCCTCAATGCTTGGCTTACATTAAAGACTATACTGCGCAAGCTTCTTCATATAAATATTTGTTTCCTGCATTGCTTAAGTAAGTATAATGAGATTATAGTGCAGTAGTGTACATTATATTTTAATTTGATTAATACTTTATTCCACAATTCATACAATTAATAGGTTTATGCACAAATTGTCAGATAAGTTATGCTCTACAGCTTACTTTGAAGATAAAAAGGTTCGACGAGACATGCAGGTACAAATTGATTTTCGGCATTATTTTTTATTTTAATCTTCTTTTTATTGTTACTAAGTTTTGTTATTCTTTAATTAGGACATATATCAACGCATTGTAGATTACTGCATATTGATTTCGGGTCGTTCATTCGATCAAGGAATATGGCTAAGGCGATCAGTAGTGATAGACGGTGAAGTCGAAAGCGTAGAGGGTATTTATTCAATTTTTGTATATTTTGTCAACATTTCATATTTAACATAAACTCATTAATTTATTTGCTTAACCTTTAGTTAATGATGAAAGAGAATCAGATCTCGGTAGTTCAGTAAACTTGATTTCCGAGGAGAAAAAGATCGTTTCAAAATCCAAAGAAGAAATTTTAATTGATCAAGTAATTATTCACCCATCCATTTACTTTTTACTTTTATTTGATAATCATTGATTATTGTAAAATTTTATTTTATAAGGTAAACCATTACCTTGCTCTAGTTGTGGTTCCAAATATCAAACGATTGTTAATTGATCAAGATCGAATTGTTTCTCTTTTGACGAATATGATGTATTATATAATTGGTCCTGTACTGAAAAATCGTCCTAGGTAAGTTTGTGAATGAAATAATAATTTTGCATAAAAAACGGGTTTAACAAAACAATATACTTTCAGTACTGGTATACCGATTGTCATATTAAATATTATTTGCGAGATGTCCAAGTTACCTTTTGCATATCGTGTCTGGCGCAAGGAATTATGGGATGTCTTTATAGATAATAAATTTTTTAATATGACACCTGGAGCCGCTAAAAAATGGCGCATCATAATTCATACAATTATGACTTCAGAAAAGGAAAGATTCCCTGAACTGTTGGGTATGCCTTAATACTTTTCCATAATCTCTCTCTAAATTTTCATTTTTTGTAATCTACGAATAATCTACCTTTTTTCTGTTAAAATTCAGGACGTTTGTCTACGTCACCTGCCAATGCTTTATTTGTTAGCAAAGAACAAGAATCTTTGAACCGTGCATTAAGTCTGCGACGTATCTCCTTTGTAATTTACTGTGGTAATATGGATCAGTATCTACAGTATCTTCCTCCTATACAAGAAAAGTTGGTTGAGTTATTCAAATTGGGTTTATCCGAATTAGTCCACGCCGAGGTAAAAAAATTTTAAAATAATAATTAATCAATAATATTGATGATGATTTCATTATACGAGTTATTTTATGGTTATTAGATTTATTTGACTCTACGAATATTAATGTGTCGAATTTCGAACCAACATTTATCAAATTTTTGGCCAGTTATTCTTACGGAATTGGTAATGTGTTTACAGTCCCCCTTTTTTAGGTTAATAAATTATATGTTAATTATTATTATTTATATTATCTAATAGGTTAGACTGTTTGGGATGTTCCTACAAAAAGAACCAGTCGAGCAACAATCTGAAGTTGCAAACGTTTTTTTAGCTGCTTGCAAATTCTTGGATTTATTATTCGTTTTACAAACCAATGATTTCCAAGTGTAAGGTTTAAATTATTGTTAACTTTTTTGAACTATAATTCGTTTATTAATTATATATACTTTTTATTTATTAGTTATGAATGGATGTTCATATCAGACACAATTAATGTCATTAATCACGCTCTTGAATGGTCATCTTATGCGTTAATGGATAAGTTGGCGGATAATCTTTCAGGTCAACAGCAAGATTTATCAAAGGTGAGATAAACTTTATTTTACTTGAACTCATAAATCTTTCGAAATATTAATTTGTTCATTTTAACGTGTATTGGTTTACTTTTCAGCTTCACTTGGATAATATAGCAAGTCAAGATAGAGCGGAATCACCAATATCACGAGCTCTCACATTTTCAAACGGTGACAGCAAACGACCATTGTTGACATTGAAAAGTATTACTAATATTAGACAATTAGAATTTTTTGTAAGAAATGTGAGCTTATATGTTTATAAATCTATTTACACACTTGCAAAACCAGATATTCCATATATTGAGAGTTTATTAGAAAATGATATGTTAGAATACGGTAGTGTATATAGCACAGTTGAATTGGGAAGTATTGACGTTGGTAGTGGTGAGATATATTCGTAAGATAAATCGAACAATTAATTTATTTAGTTTTTTTTGAATAACTTATTTTATTTATATTATTTGGGTTTAATAAAAGTAATTGTTAATATAACATTATAATGTTAACTAATGAAACATAACTTTTTTCCCAATGAGTAGTTAACTTGTTTTTTATTACAAACAAAATGCGAAAACTATAATGCATGTAATGCGAAAAAAAACGATAATATAGAATCTTATTATTAATCCAAAAAAGCTACGCTTTTTTTTTTGTATTAAATTATAATCCTATTAAACTTTTTTCATTGAAATAATCGGTCGTAATTTTAATATTATGTTTTGAAAAGAATGAATCCTATTTATTTATTTATTTTTGTGGCTATTAATCTTTCAATTGTGGCTTTAAATTATTAAAGATACAGACAGTAGTACAGTATTATAATTAACTAAGATGTTTTTTGACAAACTGCGGATTATTGATTATAAGATACCCACGAATTGCGGAAAAAGAAAGCTATATTCATTGAAGATACTTTAATTTTTGCCTAAGCACTTAATTAGATGTTCTATTTGGTCAATAAAACAAAACTCTCAAATTTTTTGGAAGTGGTAGAAATAACACTGTCGGAAAATGAGAATATAAAAATGGATCACTCTTGAATCCAAGAGAAGGACGCTTCCAAACCACCGTCATTTGTGAAAGTTTAAAATTAAGCAAATTAGTTACTATAAATAAATATAAAATATTCATTATATGTATATATAAGTATATTCATTTATTTATTATTTCGACAAAATATCAAAAGTAAACTAACTATTAAACAAAATGTTTGAGTAAAAAATATAAATTGTTTTAAATGTTCTTTTATATTAAAATAACTATATAATGAAATTTACAATGTAACAGATTATTTACTGTGATATATATTTTTTATAATGAGTTAGAAATTATTTAAACAAAACAAAACAACTAATAATATATAGAGAGTTTTATATAATTATAATTACCTTTAAACTAAAGTAGCCATATTTTCTTTTTTTTTACTTTTTCTCAAAATTAATCAGAGAGAGAGAGATAACTAATTTACCAATCCAATTTTTTATCATTCACGTTGCTACATGGAGTCGTGTTGGGATTACGCGACCAATCATACACACCACCTCTTTTAAAGAAATTTGTTTCGTCCCATCCAGCATCCTTGAGCAAAGTTTGAAGGTCTGTGTCAAGTAACGTACGTTCAGAAGGAGTTTTTCCTGATGCATAAAATCGCAAGTGCTCGTCAATCATTAAATACGAGTGACGCATCAGATTGTTTGGTTCGGGAACGAGTCGTTTTCCATGAACTTTCTCGTGTCGACTTGTGAAGGCCTCGAATTCCGTGCTGCTTATTTGAAATTTTGTCGCGTTTTTCAAAGTACCGTCAGTCCCTGTGTTTTCTCCAGGTACGATCAAAACCTGAAAACATTTCCATCGAAACGGTTGCAGCATGGATATGTCATGATTCATGTCCTCCTGCCAATTATAGCGACATACCACGGTGTTGACCTTGAACTTGACACGAAATTCTCTACAGAGAGAAGAAACTTCTTGTACGGCTTCGAGGTGCAAACCTTCTTTACCTCGACCTATAAGTACATTGGTATCCTTATTAAAAGAATCGCAAGAGACCGCCATGATGTCAAGGTTCTCGGCATAACGAATGAACCAATCACGTTTCACCTTACTCCCATTCGTCACAATGGACACCGACTCAAGGCCTAGGTCCTGCTTACAGAAGCGTACGAGTTCTCCGAGATAATTTGGATAGAGAAACGGTTCACCACCAGCGAAATTGAGCTTACGCATCCCTCCATCTTTTAGTTTCCTCAGGGCGAACTTGGCGTCTATCATCGTTGGTTTATCGGAAGTTTTAGCGGTATGGTAACAAAATCCACATTCATAATTGCATTTACGAGTAAAGTGAAAGTTCACGGCGATCGGAATCAAGGAAGATTTCACTTTCTTTCGCGTATGTACCCATCGTTGAGTGAAATAAACAACGCAAAATACACAAACAAGAAACCCTAATAACATACTTAATATGTTGTTTATGTATTGTGTAAAAATTTTATTCGATCCAAAATTTCAAACTGTTTGCAAAATAATTTTAATAAAAAAAAATTCCTGATTGATTGCTTTATATTCCAAAGAAATTGCTTATGAAATAGTGTCGGTTTAAAATCCATATAGTCCGATAATCACAGTTTTGGGACATTTTTGATTCTGTTTTTGAACCCAATTTGCGCCATGTTTCCTTTTTGACTATTAATATTGACTAAATTGCTTTTTTGGTTCAAGATGATCATTTCAGCCAAAATTAATGAGAGAATAATTCATCAATGCTATAGAAATTTTCCAAATAATGTTATTGTTGACCAATATGGGTAATTTACAAAGACTTTTTGAACAATAACATGAGATCTAAATCATTATTCACGGGAACAAAACAATTGCACACATTGCACAATAGTTTTTCTATTTTTTCTAAATATTTATATCTTTTGTATTCTTTAATCATCACAAATTTTCAATAATTATGTTGATGCGCGTCATTTATTGAATCCCATGATAGGACTTGACTACAAATTCCATTAACAACTGTTAATCGGGATAAGCGGAATTTTTTAGAATCGGTGTAAAAATGTATTGATGATAAAATTATTAGGTATGTTTACTTTAGAAACCTTTATCAAGTGACGAAAATTATAACAATCGACAAATGAAGCGCGTCGACAACTGAACATTTAAGCTTTATAAACTTTATCAAAAAAAACATTCTATTTTTTTTCAACAATTTGTATATTACTTGATTTGAGTTTTTGATTTTATAGAGGTCACGTGTTTTTAACCAGGTTGGGTAAGCACAAAGATTAGAACAATTAATACATTATAATAATTAATAAAAAATATAGAACAAGTACATTGTCAATTTCATCTATTCCATACGAATTTCCAATCCTGTGAATTGTTACGCTCTTCCAAGTAACCCTTGCACCTTTATTAAAATTAAAATATAATCTAAATTGGAACTTCAACGTCATCAACATCGACACCATCTTTAAACCAACGCTCTTCTTCAGTGATATGAATGTCGTTTGCGCTCATTTGCCGAAGTTGCATGATTCCTTCCTTATCAAAAGTCCAATGCTCGATACCGTAGGCTGCGAGGAAAAAAGAAGGACTTGTTAGATCATATTCAACTATAATAACAATTGCGTTTAAGTATGAAAGTCTACATACCACGAAACCACTATAATCATAATTGCAACGGAGATGAACAAAGTGTTAATTAAACCTCATTAATATCATTAGTGTACAAACTAACATACTTGCCTGCCTCTGATTATCATGATACTCGTACCAAAACTCAACTGCAATCTTATTATCCGTCCACGAAAACAACTCCTTCCTTAATTTATAATCCAACTCCTTTGACCACTTGTCCTTCAAGAACTTAATGATTGATTCGTGCCCGGTAAAGAACTTATCGCGATTACGCCAGCTAGAGAAAGATTAACGGTCAATTGTTTCGTTCAAAACGCTGTCGATTCAAGAACGAAAAGATACTATACATACATAGAATTTTTAGTATAGGCATTAACAACTTTATACGGATCCTTAGTATTCCACAAATTTTGCGCTTTTTTCACTTTGAAATTCGCAGTTTCTTTAGTAAATGGTGGGACATCACCTCTGCTTGTGTAAAATCCTTTTTGAACGAAAAAAACATATAAATAAAAATCGTTAATATAACATTTGATCGGACAAGAAAAAAAAATAGAGCAGGAAAATTTTTGTTTCGTTACTTTTTAACAGTATAGTGAGACTTCCCCTATTTAAAGTGGGTGTATATTTAGAGAAAATGAACATTTTAACAATTACAGAAATTTCGAACAAAAATTTTTTAAAAATATAAGGGCCGCAACGATCAACCGTATAAGCCGAGGGCTTGTATAAGGTAATTTAGTACCCAAATGGCAAAAATCAGCAATCATTTGATTTACTAAATCTGGCAAATGTTTTATTAATCATATGATTACTGCGAGTCCAATTCCGATTACAATCCTACCCATGGTACTGCTTATAGTCATTGAAATTCTAAATTAAAAGATAAGATATATTTGTATCATCTATTAGATATGTAACGAATCTTTATTGAACTTAGTTCCGCGGATGGAAAAATCTGATTTCAATATATGGGGGGTTTGGCCAAAAAAATCAACCAATAGTTTAATTACAAAATGTATAAAATTTAAAAAGTAATTGCTATAAGTAAAAGAAATAACATTTTATTAAAAATGAAAAGGTTATATTAAAAAAAAAAAAAAAAGTATAATGTTAATCGAAAATAGGTAAAAATAAAAGTTCTTAACATTTTAGATCAGCTTAGATAGAGGTTAATCTGATCTGATCTGATAAAGGATTTTTAATTTAGTTTTGAATCTAAAAAAAGTAATCTTATTTAAAACCATAATTAAACTAAAACATTTCAAATTCTTCAAAAATTCAGGTTATTAAATCTAATATAAGATATCTCTAATAGAATAATTTTGACTTTTATTGGCTTATTTTCTAATAGAATAGCTTTTGATAATTTGGTTTTGACTTTTAATAGCTTATCTAATATAGTTTAAATGTAATTAGAAAAATGAAGTTTATTCAATTTTTTTACTAGTTATAAAAATCATAACTATATAATATGCATATAATAAATATTTATTAGAATAAAATAAAATAATAAATTTAAATTTAAAAAAAAAATGATTAATTAATTATAAGTAATTTACATAATATATTTCAGAAATTTAATGTAAAATATACAGTCTCTAGTCAAAATAATAGTAGTAAAATCTGCATCTATTTTTAGACTACAAATCTACTGCTTTTAGAGCATTTATTTATATATCCAAATCAAATATTGGAATCTTAATTAAAAGATAAGTTAAAAAATAAGGTTTATTATTTGTTTTTATTTTATTATTTTTTCTAAAACCCTTTAATAATATAATCAAATTCTGTTAAATAATTTAAGACTGAAAAGTACATAATACAAAAGAAATTTATACATTTATTTACATAAATAATACAGTTTACTAAATAAAACTGTCAATCTTTCTATTAATTACTATTTTAGTTATCTAAAAAAATTAGCTTTAAATCAATGCTTTTATATTGGAAAATAATTACTTTACTATTAAAATATATAGTGAATTCTTAATATAACAAATTCTAAGGTTTAGATCTCAATTTTATTATAAGATTATAATGAATTTTTTAAAGAATTTAATTGGCTGTTTCATTATAGTAAAATATATTTAATTTAAAATTTTAATATATAAAGAGTTTATTATATTAAGATTTAATTATAAAATTTTACTTCTTCAAAGTCATATTAATTTATCACATCATATATAATTGATATATAATATCAAGATTAAAGATAAAAACTGTAATTAATATGTTGCAACTTTTAATGTTGCAACTTATGTTGCAATTAGTTTTAACCTATATATGTTGCAAC